AAAAGTGGATTACAAAGCAAAATCCTTAGTCTACTATTCCTGTGACCCAATTTCAACTTTTTCGATTGATATTTGACGGTTTTCAAGTAGAACAATACATATTTTACTTCAAACAAACATCATATTTGGAATTCGCACAAAAAAAATGAGTCGATCGACTTATGTCTGTTTCAAACTTGTTCTGCGACTTTTTTTTCTGATCAAATTTTCACCCTTGAATCCCCTGAGAAATGTGTGTAAAAATGAATTTAATCAACACACCTATTTTATTAATTGATCACCTGCCTTTTTGTCTGAAAATTTTTTTTATAATTTTATAATTTTATAATTTATTTTCCACTGCCAAAATGATCTTTTTGATTAAATTCATTTTTTCACATATCTCTGAAGAGGCCTCGGAGTGAAAATTTGATTAGAAAAAAAGTCGCAGAAAAGGTTTGAAATGTACATAAACTGACTCACGTTTTTGTGCTAATTTCAAATATGATACTTGGTTGAAGTACAGTGTGTATTGTTCTGCTTGAAAACCGTCAAATATCAGTCGAAAAAGTTAAAATTGAGTTACATGAATAGTAGAGTAAGGACTTTGTAATGTGGTTCGCTTTGTCAGACTGCTTGAAAAGTTCTATCCATTACGCAATGAAATATGTGTGGAGGAAGGTTTATTAACACAATAATTAAACGACAAATGAAATGCAAATGGATATTACATAGTCAAAATTTAAGCAATGCAAGATATATATACGACCTAGTAGATTCAAAACATTATTTTAAATGAATAGTTCTTTTATGAATATGTAGCCTGAACGAGAATCTATTTGAATAACTTTGAATCACTCTTCATCTTAATTTGTTTTCTGTCAAACCAATGATCACATTGCTGACTAGTATCAATAGTTAACTGTCCATTTCGTTTATCGGAAATATAGATTCTGTTCACAACTATGATTCGATCACAAGAACGCGTTTTTAGCATGGTCTTTCATTCTATATATGATTTAAATAGATTGGAGCTTGAAAATCAAAAGTGACCGAAATGCGCTCTCGTCCTTTTTTTAAAATTAGGAGTAAGGGGAACTCGGGTTTCGGATCCAAAAAAGTTTAATCAACTGGGTCAGCGTCAGAAAAAAAAATATTCGATCCGAAGGTCTCTACTCCAAATATTATCTTCTTATTATTCAATTATTAAAAATTCATTAATTACAAATTCTGATTCTATTCATAGTGCGAATGTCCTACTGGATTTATATTTAAACATGGTGCTTGTGTTGGTATGAATGGTTTTTTTTTTCTATAAATATTTCATAAGATATAAATATTTGATATTAGATGATGATGAATGTCCAAGAGGAAGTTCAATATGTCCAATAAATTCATTGTGTCGTAATACTCCAGGATCATATGTTGTATGTAAATTTTTATTTAAGAAAACAAAAAAACCTTACTCTTTTATATTTTTGAAAGTGTGATTGTATTTCTGGATATAAAATGATAGCTGAACGAGCTTTTTGTGATGGTAAACCAATATCTAATATAAATATAAAGTTATTTTATTTTATTTTATTTTTTTATAATCAGATATTAATGAATGTGAAATTTCACCAAATATATGCGAACAAAGATGTATTAATGTTCAAGGTTCATATTATGTAAGTTTAGGAGAAATGAAACAAAATGAAGGCTAAAATAAGAAATTTCTCTTTTTTTTTTTACCTAGTGCTTATGTAAGGAAGGTTATCGATTAAATAACGATAAACAAACATGTCGAGGTAAGATTTCAATACTATCAATTTCTTTTTTGAATTGATAAAATTGTTTTTTTGCTTCAGATCTTGATGAATGTTCAATGATTGCAAATTTATGTCAATATCATTGTGTTAATACACCTGGATCATATAAATGTATATGTCCATCAGGTTTTTCAGTTGAACGAGGACGTCATTGTCAAGATATAGATGAATGTCATCTTGGTACACATAATTGTCGTATTGATGATATTTGTGTTAATCTTCGTGGTGATTTTCGTTGTTATTCTATTGATTGTCCACAAGGTTATGAAAAACTTGGAAATAAGTAAATAAAAACAAAAATTTTAATTTTTAATTAATAAAAGTCACTTGTTTTTTTT